CATTTTTGTAAGCATAAGGAGAAAAAGATACAAGGTATTCCCCTGTTATCTCTGAAGTCTTTTATTTAATAGGTTAAATGCAGTTGTTCATTGTGAAATTATCCAGGGAAGCTAGTTCCTGTTCTTGCTTTCATTTTTCAGGTTTAAATATGTACAGCTTTTAATAGTTGAAAAAAAAAATTTTTGTCTCCTGCTTTTGAATTGCAGTTGAAGAAGCCCATAATTTGAACCAAGACCAAGAGCTTCATTATGCCAATAGCTTTTCTTTTCCTTTTAAATTTTTTTTTATGCAACCTTCTGAATACATTATAGCTTTGCTGTCTACTGGGAAACTGTATTTCTGTGAAAAAGTGCTAAACATGAAATTTTCTCCAAATTTATATGGTCTCTTGGTAGTCTAGGAGAAGAAGTAAGTCAAGAGAATAGGAGTGGAGTATCAGTAAACCAGGTTCTGTTTCTGGTAAGAACAAGCAGATTCTAGGAAAGGGATCAGCAAAACCCCCACTTGTTGTCTTTTACATTTTTTTCCTAATGCCTGAGATTATCTCATGAAAATTTCACACTGATCTCTTAAGTAAAAGAAAAATCACTTATTTGTTGAATAACTAAATATGTAAGAGGACCTTTTATTACAAGTTAAAAACAAAAAAGTATTCTGCATTTATGGTCCCTGGGGAAAAAAAGATCATAGCATTATAATAAACTCAGAGATGCACAAAACCTTTAATCATCTTATAGCTTCTATTTAGAAAAGCACATTTAAGTGTGTTTAAGTCCCATTAAGTACTAGTCTAAATTGAACTTGTACATAATTCCTGCTACTGCATTATGCTAAGGGTGGGTAGTAAGTCCTGCAGCTGGCAATACCTAAGCATTTAAAGGTATTCAATAATATTTAGCAGCAGGAACGAAAAGATGCCTTGCAGATGCCTAAAGCAGTATAAGCACCTAGGGCAAGGCACAATAAAGACTTGTAAATTCCTCTTCCACCAGGAAATCCAGCTACTGGGATCAGTACAGCAATCTCTTCAATTTTCTCTGAGGAAATCTGAGCTCATGCCACTAAGTGCTTGTGAGAAATATAAATGTGTTGTAAACCGCCTCCCATATATTTCCACTTTTTCTCCTCAACTTTCCTATTTATAATTAACACCTCTCTTTATCTTGTTCATTCTGAATATCTTTGTTCTTTTCAAGCTAAATTATTTAATACTATCTCTTCTTCTCATTTAAGCTCCCTTTATCTGGTGATCCCCTCTCCTTTATATTAAAATCTCTCCTGTCTAAATGCATAATCAGATGACATCTGCTTCTCAGGAGCATGAATATCCTTGCACATTCAAAGAAATTACTGTGCAGTTATCAGGCAGTGAGGTATCACAGGTGCAGATCAGAGGCTGGGCACACAAAAGGAAAAGGCTCAAACCACACAAGAGTGGCTGTTCAGAATGTGAAGCCCAGAAATGTCCAGTCCACTCCTGAGTCCTTGCAGACATGAAATCCAGTCCCTGCCCACAGGAACAGCACTGGTGGTTTCAGCAGGCTACCTGTGAGCAACAAAGACCTGGTGCCACGTAGCCACACATGTCACAGAGCTTTTGTATTATGCAGAAGGAAGCACAAGAGCCTTTGGAGGCAGGAAAGCATCTGGAAGTCCCGAGGTATGTTTGCAATTGAACAAAAATGAAAATTTGGTCATGTGAAATCAGAGAGAAGCTAAATTCTTGTTCCTGTACTATGTCTAAGCCACAGCTAAATATACCCCAAAATGTTTTTTGTACAATGTAACAGAGAATAAACACACACATGTACCAGACCTTCCAGGTCTGTTTGAGTCCTGGTGTTTTATTAAAATATAAGTATTATCTGTAGAGGAACATGAGGAGGAATGTGAAATGTTGCAGGAGGCAGTTTTGGATGACAGGACAGACACTGGATTGTCCCTCTCTCATAGGGACCAAATGCCTCTATAGGGATGATAAATTCCCTGATAGCAGCAGTGATGCTGCCTTGCAGACAGGTTTAGGATGTGTGAGTGTCCTACCAATTACAGAATTCACATGTAGTGTTTTCTTCCCTTCTGCTCCACTCTGGTGAGACATAGAGGGGCTTACAGAGTCCTGTCCTATTTAAAAGCAGGAATGGTTTCATCTATTTAATCTAAGATACATGTATGCTTACCGCAGTCATAGCAGGACAGCTAAAAAAAACCCCCAAGAGCCAGCTAAAATGTCTTTGTACAAGTCCTTCAACACACAGCTCAGAATATCTGCATATAATTTTAAAGATTACAAAAGCAGAGAGCCTCGTGAACCAGGGTATTTTGTAACCCAAATGGCAAAAGTTATTTATGACAAATTCAGATCTCTTGGAAAAAAAATTAAAGGCAAAACATCCATTCAAAGCAAGAGTGCCTCATTAAAGCTTATCTTTTTTATTTTTTTGAGTGCAGTGATAAGTCCTGATATATCTAATAACCATTTGATTTGGGGGGCTTTTCTTGTTTTTTGTGGTTTTTAGTATATATTTTCTTAACTGTCCTAAACGTAATATCCAGTGTGATATCTCATCCTTCTTTAGAGAAGGAGAAACAGGCTTGGGACTGTGCACAGGATGTGATCCTTTGGAGGGGAAATTGAGAAGCACCTTCTAGAGCCTAGGACTGAACCTGAGGTTTCTAACCTTTGCCAATTAGATTTGCTATGATCAAATATCTGAAACGTGCTGGCAAAATTAACTGCAATTAACTTGAACACTAAACAAGGTTAGAAACTTATCATTAGTATCCACCTGCAAAGAGTGAGGGGCAGAATTGCTACCATGAAAAAAGTAGGATGCAAAAGCAGGGTGAGGCTGCTGTCTTTATTGCATGATTGAATTTTATTGCCAGATTGAGCATCCTCCTCACCTGCCCCTGCTTTGCATCCCTCTGCAACTTCTGCAGGAATTGAAACTGCAGCATTTTCATTCACTATGCAATTCAGCTGCTTCTGACTTCTGCGTCCATAACTTTTGACCTAAACAGATTATTTATTATATATATATTTTCCTGAATTATGCTGGATGTGCTCCTGCCTTCTAGCCCTGCTAGTGCAGTGTGAGGCCTCTGCATCTTGCAACCCATTGGCCTGGATGGAACCACCAGGAACAGGGTGCAAATTCTCCTTGCCATCTCTGTTCAGAGCTCCAGGACTGTGTACAAATTCACAAGAGAACTACCAGGGAAACCATGGACATCTCCCTGGTCTCCTGCTGTGTTCAGACCAGAGGGCCCATGCCCCCGCTGGTGTGCTTTCAGAGCCACACAGGAAAAGGTGTGCATGCCTTGATCCGTGTCCTGGAACTCGGGCCACCTGTGAGTGAGTACCCACGGAGAGATTTAACACAGTTTATGTGATAAACTTTGCACATCTTCATCTGATTTCTCTCACCTGTGCAGCAATCAAATCCTCCAAGTGATCAAATCCTCCACTCATTCTAATCACAGCTTGCCTTAGATGAACATTATGCATTTATTTTCTCCCAAAAAGTCAACCTGCAGTGGTTGCACAGGGCAAGTGCAGGGAGGGGGGAGGTTGCTCCTAAGAAGGGAGTAAGGATCAACATGTACTCCAGTAAACTTTAGCAAAGCACTGAAATGTACAATCATTTTAAACCTCACTATTTGGATCAGCTTGCGGGTGGGAGAAGGCACATTCCCTCTCTATCCAAACACTTCGGCTCTGATGTATCCCTGTTTCCACAAGTGAACCTCCCAGGACATGCAGGGATGTACACACCTTGGAGATCAGCTGAGCTTTCAGCTATAAGCATTTCTTTCCCTGGTAGCAGAAAGCCCGTGGCAGGGCTATTCCTTGAAGCCTGAACACATCGGCAGAGACTGTGCAGGATGAAACTTGCCAGAGATGTTCAGGAATTGCACAGCAGAGCTGCCGGGCACGGCAGAGCCCTGCGGGACGGGCAGCACTGGCGGGAGCCGCTGCAAGTCAGAGCTGCTCCTGCTTTATCATCTCCCTGACCACCACGCTTGGAGCGCCGTGGCCGTGGCCGGGCAGGACGATGAATCCATAGGGGAAGCGCCGCAAGAGGGGAACAGGGAATGGAAAACACGGGTGGAGCACCAGGATGAGGTTTTAGGACACGAGGTTTTAATGGAAGTGGTTCTAGCACTGAGGCAAACCAGGGAAGTACTGTTCGCGACAGGGGCTGAACGGGTGCCTTTGGGGCTGCCCAGAACGGCCAGGCGGGCGCTCAATGGGAACTCCCGGGCGGTCCCGATCCACGCGTCCCCGGCGGCGCAGCGCCGTGAGGGCGGGCGGGAGCGCACACCGGCCACAGGTGCGTGAGGCGGCAGCAGCCCCCGCCCGCCGACGCTCCTGGCCCCCGGGCTGCGGGGAGCACCGCTGTCGGTGCTTGCCCCGCCGGCCCCGGCCCGCGCCCGCCCTCACGGAGCGATCCCGGATCCCGATCCCGCCCCGGCGCTTCCCGGCTCGCGCCCGCCCCCCGCGCGTCAGGCGCCGGCCGTCACGCGGCCGCTGTAATGCACCCAAACAGCGCGCACCCCGCGCTGCGCCCGCCCTGCCGCCACCGCCCGGCCCGCGCCCGCCCGCCCTGCCGGCTCCGTGCCCGCGCTCTCCCCGACCCGCCCGGCGACGGCAGCCACGGAGCTGTCCCGTTCCCGCCGCCCGCGGTGTCCGCCTCAGCAGGGGATGCGGGCGGGGGCGGCCGGAGCCTGCCGGGGATCCCGGTTGCGCGCAGCCGTGCGGGCGGCAGCGCGGGTCTGCGCGCCTATTAGGAGGCGCGTGGTAGCGATGGCGGCGGTGGGTGAGCCCTGTGCCGTCAGCGGATCCGGCTGGCCCTGCCGGCGGGCGGTGGGGCCGGCCCCGCCCCGCGCCTGCAGCCGCCCCGAGCAGCCGAGCGGAGCCGGACCGAGCCCGGCCGAACCGGACCGAGCGGCGCCGGGCGGAGCCGAGCCGTGCCGCGCCGCGCCGGGCAGCGCCATGGGGCTGCTGGAGCGGCTGCGGAAGGAGTGGTTCATCCTCGGCATCGTGCTGGTCATCGCTGTGGCGCGGCTGGAGCCCGGCGTCGGCGTCAAAGGCGGTGAGTGCGGGCGCGGAGTGCGGGCGGGAGCTCTCGGGGGCACCGGGAGCGCCGGGACTTCGGCAACTCCCGGCGGCCGCGCCCCGTCCCGCCCGTGCGGGGTCCCTGCCCTCCACAGGCTCCTCTCGCTCCCTGCTGCCAGCCCCAGCTCCTCAGGATCCCGGGAGCTGCTCCCGCTGTGTTCCCGTGCCTCTGCTCGGCGCCGTACCTGTGCCCGGAGGAGCGCCCGGCTCCTTTGGGATCAGGAGCGATGGGAGCCGAACCGTGGCTGGCTCGGAATGTGCTCCCGTTCAACTCCGCCAGAACTTGCAGGGCTGTGGGCACGGAGTCCCGCGGCTCGGGACATGGGTTGCTGCCGTCTGGAGGTGCAGCCGAAGGAGTGCTGTGGTAAACTCTCGGGTGCTGTGCTCCGGCCAGACCTTTCCCATCGCTTTATAGTAGAACATTTGTGTTTTAAAGTTTTGGGTTTTTTTTTTTTGTCTCGTTGTTGTTCCCTCTTACTTCCTCGTGGAAGGTGGGGGAAAACAGGGGAACTGATCCTGTGGGAAGTGATGGTGTGAAAGATGCGTACACGGGGCAAAGCAGATCTGTCCCTGGCTGAGCAGGGAGGGCTTGGATGTGTCCCAGAACAAGGGCTGGTGACATAGCCACTGTTATTTAAACATAAACAATGTATCTTTAAGTATAAACACTGGGATGAATCCTCGTCAGTTTCCATTGGAACTTCAGCTCCGGACATTCACAGATTTCAGGAACATATTACAGGTTGTATTTCTTCTTCCTAATTGTTCTCTGGTGGCTTGAGAAAAGGGATGTAGAACACTTCAATAGAATTCCTATGGCAGTTCCATGTTATGTGAGAGGAGGAAGAATATACCTGTGCTTTTTTTTTAATTTATTTTTTTTCTTAATAGAGCTGAAGTTTGAGTATAGACGGCTTCTTACTGAGAAGCCAGACTTTTCCCACCTCTTAGCTTCTGGGGAAAAAAGAAAGTGATTTAAAAATTATGTCTCTGAACATACGCTATGGCAGCTCAGGCTCTGGTACCTCATGGAGTTCAGGGCAGGCAAATTCCTGCTGTGCAAGGATCCCCTCTGACATCGGTGTGCTGTTCTGCAGGGGTGAATAAAACCCACGTGGAGCTTCTCGCAGGATCCGCGCTGTGTTTTCTGCACACCTTAGAGATGACTTGCAATTGATAGAATCAGGTGTTTTGTCCCTCTCTGCTTTAAGTGCCGGGCTGATTGTGAGTGGCCAATTGTTCCTCGGTTCATTTCCTGCATGGAAGCACTATGATGGAGCACTTCATTAAATTATCCTGCTGCAAAGAGATGTCAAGCTTTGACACTGTATTGTTCCTGGGACAACTTGCTTGAAAAATCTTGGAAGGATTGATTGAAAGTAGCTAGCACATGTTCCCCATGGTGGTATCCCTTCCTCTGAAACCACGGGATCTCTGTGCTCTGAGGAAGAAAAATATTTCTTTTTAAAAGCAGAAAGAGGTGAGGGCTGGGAAGTATCAACACAGGAAAAACCTTACTTTGTCATCTTCCAGCTGACAAAGCCATGCACGGTAATTTGCAGGGCTTTAGTGAATGGTATGGATGGTCCAGCATCCATGCCCGTGGAAGATTGTGCCATAAATAACAAAGATTTGTGTTGTTGTCACCTCCGTGACATAAGCCAAGCCATTTTTGTGTGTTTTCCTATTTGATAAATGAGCCCATTTAGTTCCTTTGTGAAAAGACTTTTTCTGTTGTGGCCAGAGAGAGTTCCCTGTGCTCCTCGAGTGTGTGCTTGCTCTGGTGGTAGAGGCTTCTCCTGGGAGAAGGAGTTCAGGTAGCCAGTGAAAAACCAGAAACCAGAAAAAACTGAGTCCTGGAGAACCCCTGTTGTAGCCAGATTAACCCACTGCCTGTCTGCTGTATGTGCATGTACACAGAGAGTCTAATCTTTTAAAGGATTAGAAAAAAGAGGTAATTGTGTCTATAAAATATAGTTTCTGTAGAGCTATATATATATATACTTATGTAATCTTTTGAGGTTTTCCCCCCCATCTATTCAGTTAATGTGCCATAATTTTGCAACTAGTTATGTGCTTTGTTGCAACTGTTAACTCTTGCATTTCCTGTCTCGTTTTTACCTTAACCTTCATATATGTAGCTTGGTGGGGTTTTTTGATTGTTTGTTTGTTTTGGGCTTTTTTGGGTGTTTGACAAACACAGTTTTAGTGTCTTGTCAGCAGAATTCTCTCTGAAGGGAGGATTTAGGTTGAAATGACTTGAGATGCAAATTTGACTTGTACAGTCAAGTCCCTCTGATTTAAGGACCATTGACCCTACTCCAGTGTGACCATCAATGTGTCATTCATCCAGGGGAGCAGAAAGGTTCCTCTCTCCTGCAGTGCTGAGTCAAGGCTGCCTTGTTTGCTGCTGCAGCTTTGCTCAGGACAGCTTAGGGTCACTTGTAGAGTGAGGATATTACTTTGGTCCTAAGTAGACTGCTCATATTTTCTTTCTAATGTAATATCTGGTTGAGTGCTCATGAAAAAATGAGCACATACACTTTATGCCTGGTGGCCTCTGAAGGCAAAGTGTATTAAGAGAATTTGTCATTTTTATAGGAGTGTAAAAAAAGACTATATTTTAATCTCCCTGAAAAAGTATATAAATATATACAAATGTAAGCCTTCAATACATAGGAACCCTTGGTGGTGCAGGCATCTGCCCCTGCTGCTCTCACTGCAGCAGTGTCTGAAATGTGTTATTGTGGGGCTGGAATGAACCATGTGGAACCATTTTCTGTTGTGAGGGGAATAACACAGAATTGTGTTGCCCTGAGGAAATGATTGCAAGGTGTGATTTGGGTTCTCCTGTGCAGGCAGCCAGACAGGTGTGTGTGCGTTGTAGGGAAAGAAGTGAGAGGGAGCTGTGTGAGGGATGTCAATGACCCTGTGAAAGTACCAGCTAATATTTTTGTTGGGGTGTATGGTTTGAGTTTGCTGATGCTGTAGGGAAAATTTGATGGCAGAAGTGTGAAAGGTTCCCCATTTTCAAATTTCCAGGATTTGTCTGTGAGTTCCCAGTGGCCTCTAATCATGGAAGTCAAATTTATATGATGACTTAACTCACTCTGCACTCACTAGTTTACTTTTATTTAAAAATTAATAGCATACTTTCTGTAACTTGATAGAAATACCGTTCTTTTTATTAGAAACTTTACTGATTAAACTTTCTCCAGGTATTTTTTAAAGTATTCTCACTCTGATATATGCATATCATTTTCCCTTTGACTGTAACTCACTTTATTCTCTATGTCTGTATTTTTTAGGACCCCTGAAACCAGAAATTACCATCACTTACATTGCTGTTTCAGCTATATTCTTTAACAGTGGACTCTCCTTAAAAACTGAGGTACTGTAATTTCTCATTTCTTCATTCCTGTTATGCTCTAAAAAAATTTTGTGTTCCTTTTGATCAGATTTGAATATAATTGGAATGGTGGTGGTACTGGGAGGATGGCTAGCAAGAGAAGAGAAATGTCAGATGTTTAAGGAATAACCCTCCTTAATCTTAGAAGGTGCTTCACAAGGCAATGAGGATGATGAGAGGGATATTGTGAATAAATGTCACCCATCCACAGGGGGTGGGTGGTTTGTCTCTGCACAGCTTTAACTAAATGGAAGTGATGAGCGCAATTTGGGAACTGGATCTACACCCTGATTGTGGCCCAAACCCAAACCAGGGTGAGATGCAGCTGTTCACTCCTGGATTGCTGGGAACAAAGACCTGGTGGCTTTAGGTTACCTCGTTTGGTAGGGCCAGGGCAGCAGCTGGGGTCAGCATAGAAGGGTTCCTGTGCAGATACGGTGTCAATATACAAGGGCAAAGTCTTGGTAATGTTTTCCCATAGGATTTTGTTGTGGACAGGTGGATTTGAGGTACTCTGGTGCATATCACAGGCACTGGGATTTGTTTAAAATTTTGTGTCACTTGTTATTCAAAGAGGAGCAGTCTGAGATTCAGAAGAGATGAAGGAATCATGGAGAAAGGAGATGATGGCTACGTGCCAAGAAGAGAAGGAGCAGCCAGAGTTGAAATGAAACACTGCACATCTCTGCTAGACTAGCTTTCTGATTCCTCTGTGCTGTTCACTAACAGGGGATGCTATTCATAAGTTGCATGATACTAATGCCTGAAAGAATCATCACAAATTTATCCAGTTATCTCCTGGTGAACTAGGATTTGAGTGAACACTGTGCATTCAAAAGCAAAAAAAGTCTCTCCACCTGTATCATGGTTATAGTGGTGAACTTTCATCTCTTCAACTTTAATGGAAATAAGCTGTGGAGAGGCACTCTCTTCCACAGAGAAGAGAGCTCAAAACACAAACCTGAGTAGTGTTACTAGAATGGACTTTTTCCTCTTTCCGGCTTAGGAATCTTTGCATGCAGAGAAAAAAATGTAATTTTTTTTCCCTTTCACTAGTTTGTATCCTGAAACCTTGTATTTGTAAAGCAGCTGTGAGAAATCTGTAGCATTGTCAAAGTCTTGATTAGATTCTCCATGCTAGTTTACATCTAACTCCTTCCAGTTAAGGTGATGTGACAGACAGTTTTCTGGGCAATGTGTCATGTCTTACTTTGAACTTACATAACTTTTTTCCATCTGTGGTATTAAAAGCAATATATTGATACAAATGAAGTTTTTACAGGATGTTTTTGTTCAGGGAGCTGATCTCAGATTGCTTTGGGAGCAGCAGTTAGGCCTGGTGCTGTTATCCAGCTTCATGAAGGAGCTAGGCCTTTCCTGAATTTCTGCCAGAAGACAGAAGAAGAAAATAATTTCTCACATTGTAGCTTGTGCTATTACTTTCTAAAGTATATGTTAAAAACAATCCTCATATGTGTTAGGTGGCCAGGTCATGTTTTTATTAAAATACTTTGAGGCATGTTTTAATTGTTTAAGGCACAACCTAAAGTTGGTGTTATTACTCAATATGCCTTTTTATTGGATTGCAAAGTATATGGTTTTTGCTTTTGGCTTTATTTGTTCTTGACCTGCATATCAGCTGTTCTACCTTAGACAATGTGTTAGTTAGATGGAAACTAGTGTTTGTATGCTTTATGACAGGATGAAAAGTTTGTAAGTGTTAACAGAGGCCTTGTGATAAATCTGACAAAATTAGAAATAATTGATGCTCTTTTAAGGTTACACTCCTGGTTTAATCTGCTGTGTAAGTGCATGCTCAAAAAAATTTACTAGTGTGTTCAGAAAGCATTTTACAGAATAATTGGCAACATTCAAGGAGAACCTGTCTGTGCATGGCCTTGTTACACTTTCAGAACCAGAGGTGACCAAGGTCCTCTTACATTTGTAGAAACACTCAGTGTTCTCTGACAAGAACATTTCATTCCACCTTAATATAATGTTATTTCAGTTTGCAGTGACTGGATAGCTTGCTCTTTTAAAGCAAATACCTCCCATAGGGCCCCAGAAATTAAATCACATACTTGAGTTATCCATTTCAACGAGGAATTTGGCAAGGCACTGAAAACACTGTTGGCTCTGTGTGGGTATTTGCTCAGAGGAGTCCAGCTGTCACTATCAGAAGAGTGCCTGGATGGCAACAGGGACCCACACCAGCCAGGGAGAGGCTGGCATGGGCTCCCTAAAGGGTCTGAAATACTGAGGAAGGCAAGGTAACCTGTTCTGTCTGGTGTGCAGAAACACAGTCCTCACCAGCAGCTTCCAGCAACTTTTTTGAGGTGGCAGATGTATTTTTGGATAAGTCCTTGTTAATTGTTTAAGAGGGTGAAGGCTGTTTGCTTCATCACAGTTTATGCTGTGATCATCCAGTCTAAGGCATAATATAATAATAATAATATTATTGTATTATCTAAATAATTTATTCTAATATTATCTAAAGAACTATTATTATTCTCAAAGGCAATCACTGGAGACATTTTCAAGATTGGTAATTTAGATCTGCAAAGATTTGTTCCATCAATACAGCATTCCTCCATGTAGTAGGTTGGCTGTGTTGTATCACCTTCCTTGCTCCCTGGAAGTTACAGTGAGGCTTTCTTTCTGTCTTGAGTTTTGGTTTTGGAAGTATCACAGAGTCTTCCTAAAACCCTCTGGTTTTGAGACATTTTCCAATTGTAAAAATATCAAATTAGAAGGGTACTTCTGTATGTAAGATATAGATAGATAGATATGTTTAATGCATCTGGAGTGTCAGCTGAAGAATCCCAGCAAATTAGATTTTGAATAAGAGTGCCATCAGTTCTTTTGCATCATTTGCTTGAGAAGAGTGCAAGTTACTGTGAGAGAAAGGAAGAGGAATTTTTATTCTCAGTCTGCAAGATTTAAAATTAATTGAAATGTGCAAGGCTCTTTTGTTGTACTCAAAAACCTGTGTGGAAGGTCCTTGAAGTGCGTGAAAAGGCAGAAACAGACACAGAGGTAGCAGAAGAGTTTTTTTCTTTAAGGGTGCTTGATCACTCTCTGGAGTGCTCTTATACTATTTAAAATTAAGGTTTTTTGTTGCTTTCTGAGTCTCCAGTGGTATTTTAGACTTTATTTCTCTGAAATTTATGGCTTAACAGTTTTTAGCTTGTTATGGTCTTGGTATTCCTTATTTGTTATTCTTCATCAGCCAATTTTTTTTCCTATAAATTTTCTTTTGATTCAATAAATAAACAAAATCTGCTGCTTTGCTTTTAGGGAAAAAATGACAAACTAAAAAAGCCCCCGACACCACAAATTAATGGTTGGTAATAGAAACATCCATAAACATCCTTTTTTTTTGTTTTTGTTTTTTTTTAATAGTATAAATGAGAATCAGCATATGTGGCTCTCTTTAGTCAGAGGAACCTGAAATCATGTTCTCACTACAAGTTTTCATGACTGCTGCTATGGAAAGTCAGTAAAGTAAACAGCCATCAGTGCAGTTAACACAGGGTTTGAAGCCATGACAAAGTGCTAAGGCTGCCTGCTGAAAAGCTGCAGTTCTGAGAGCTACACTATTATTGAAGTGCTGGACAATTCTTGTGGAAAAATGCCCAGGAGCAGACAGCTTTTATCTTGCCTGGATGTACTTCATTATTAAAGAGATCAGATGATCCCTAAAGGTGACTTTTTGACATGCACTCCTTTTGTATGGTAAAGCTGATCCTAGTTTTAAAAGCACAAATATGATCTTACTTCAGCTGTTATGACTGCAACTTCCTCTCTTCTTTTTCTTTTGCAGGAGCTGACAAGTGCTTTGATGCATGTGAAACTACACCTTTTTGTCCAGATTTTTACACTTGTGTTCTTCCCAACAGCAATATGGGTCTTTCTTCAGCTGTTATCAATCACACCTATAAATGAATGGCTTTTAAAAGGGTATGTTTAAGTATAATGGAGTGAAATATATGTGTAGCTGTCATCTTAAAGGGCTGCTTATCCTGCAACTGGTGTTTTGTGGTACTGTGAACAGATTTTGCTGGTTGTGTTTTGTGCTTCAGCACTTTGCTGTTGAAAACAAAGTGCATGCAAAGATTATCCCTTCAGGAACCTGCTCTCATTTTCAGAAGGTCTGGACAGTCTTATGTGTAGGGTTGCAACAGGTTAGGTTTCTTTTTCACAAAACACAGCTGAAGTGATGGGTTGGGTCTCAAGGAAGGTGGGAAGGAAAGAAAAGAAATGCTGAAGGAAAAGCCATGAATATGAATAAATAAATATTGTGTATGCCACATACTGGTCTTCTGTTTTTAAGTAGTTTGTGTTGAGCATTTCTTGCATGGGTTCAGTATCAGCTTCCAGCTAAATTATGGGGAAAAAAAAAGTAAAGTTTTTATGGGACATGAACTTTGTGATGAGCAGGAACTAAGTTACCATGAAAACAGTGTGTTTTAAATCTTGCCAATGTGCAAAGCTGCATGGATGGTGTACTAGGGATAGATGCTATGTTTAAAAACAAAAGTTCAAAGTTGTGTTTTTTTTGGAAATGGGAGTCAATACTTACTGCCATACAGGTATACTGGAATGTCTGAATGTTAAAAATCAATTATTTCAGAAAACTATTGAAAGAATCCCAGTTGTTCCTTACTGCTTGGTGAAACATTGCTTGGGGAGTTCCTTGTCTTAAAAGTTTAATGAAAAAGCTGCTCATGTTTATGTTTCTACAAGGCCTAAACCTAAAGGAGCATTTCAGTTTGTTTGTAAGAGGCTTCTCCTGATGCTCCATCAAGTGTGAATTGGTCCAAATGACACTGAAAAGGTGACACTGAGACAACATCAATTAAAAGTTAACACTTTTTTGCTTAACAGTGTCAGTTAAGCAAGGAAATAACAAGATTGATATATGATGTTCATTTGTATTTAGCTATTTGCAGTAAAGGGTATTTTTTACAATAAAATAATAGTGAAGTTTTTCCTCAGCTAGGAGAAAGATGTGATTTTCCACAGTAGCCAGAAAGGATTAGGAAGGAATTTTGAAGTGCAAGGTGAAAGATTTTTGTGGGGTTTTTGGTTCCATGAAGCATGTCTCATTCCTTCCTTCCCATGAGTCTCATGCCCCTTTGATTCTTAGTATTTAAGTGACTTGATCTGTTGCATGCATGAGTATAATTATATGTATATGCATACACTCTTGTAAAACTGGTTGTAAAACTTAGGATGTATGTGTTTTTGCAAAGAAAATAAATACTTGTGCATTTATCTCTCTAAATATGGAGCCTAAACCAGGCTCATGTGTCATGAGAGTGTGTCTGTGTCCTGCTAGTGAGCTGCTGCACTTCTGTATGCTTCTGTATGCTGCCTTTCAAGCACTTGTTCCTTGAGTGCTGCTTCTGATTTGGCTTTTTTATCTTTTAGTGCAGTAACTCTCTTGTATTGAGGCTTCATTGAAAGAATTATCAGATTGAGGAGTATAATTAAGGTGGTTTGGTTGGGGTTTTTTAAGAGTGCTTTCTTGAGAAGTACTGCTGTTCAGGCCATGCTCAAAGCTGTACAGGGTGATGCAGGTGCAGAAGATACTGAGCTCTGTCCTAATTCTAGAATAACACATTTCAAAGCAGGTCCCTGTGCGTGTGTGAGGGACTGTGCTGTGGCAGCTCTGTGTAAACAAAAGTTCATCCTCATGCCCCACAGCTGTAGTTTTTATTCCCTTAGAAGCACTAAGGAAAACAGGGAAGGGAGCAGGTTTGGACAAAGTTGCTTCCTTATCACTATTTAGCACAGCATGTGGTGGAGGCTGCCTGATAGCCCTCAGAAAGGCTGGAAAAACAGGCATGTGCTCCCAAGGGCAGGCGGCACCCTTGGCAGGGTGGCTCCCTGGGCACTGCGGCTCTCCACTGCTCCCTACACAGGGTTATGCCTGAAGGGCACAGCCCACAGAACCTTTTCCATCTTGCTTCACAATGCATGGTAGATTCTCCCATCCTCTCTAATGGCCTGTTTTTGCTCTAAGTGTTATTTGAGAGGCAGATTTGGGTGGTACCAGCTTTTCACCTGTGTTTCTACAGCTGAGGGGGATTTTTTCTTTCCCCTCTCTCTGTCTGGCATGATATTAGGAGGTTTGTTGTTTTGCAATTATTTTGAAATTTATGATATAGAGGAGAAACTGACATCCTCCCAGGCATCTTATAAGTTAATTTTTTTGTTAACTGACCAGGTTTTGCATTGACAACATCTATTTGAAAAGGAGCATGAAGCAGGTTATTAATGTATGCAGATTCACCTCTTTCCACTTTTAGCATGTCACATTTACAGCACAGGTGGTGAGGCATGAGATGCAAGATCAGGTATAATGTACAATTTTGGAGCTTTCACATCTGAAACATGTGACTTCAGACTGCTGCTCAGTTGTCTGTAGTGATATCAGCAGAAGAGCAAGTGTCTGGAGCCCTGATGTTAGTACTCACAGCATGGCCTGATCCAGTGGAATGTATGAGTTGGTTGGTTGTTATTTCTAGTAGTCTGTTGGCCATTAGGGGAGTCTGTTTATATACTGGTAGAATTGTGTGGTTGATACAAACTGAAAAAAAAAGTTTACAGGCACATATTTCCATACACTCAATTAAGAATGTATCCTTTTAGTTTGTACCAGTTTTTTTTCTAGATTAATATTGCTTGATAGGGATTTTTATTTTTAATCCCAAATATGTTGTTTTCAATTTGAGAGGGTTAACAGAGGTTGTATGATTAAATCTTTCCCTTATAGTATGGAAAATCCCTGCCAGCTGAGATGAATGCTCTTGCACACATTTTGTACCTCTCTGGATAACTCTGAATTTAATCTACTCTTCATTAGAGCAGGTGAGAAGTGTGAGGAGCTGGCTGCCACACAGGAGAGAGAACAGTATCACAGTGTAGGAGATGGACATCAGGATTGCCATGTCTTTGTTTGCCTGCTGGATATTTTCCTCTATGTTTCCAGACTTTCCTGCACCGTTTCTTTTTCCTGTATTTCATTTCTTTTCAATGTGAGCTTATTCTGCTACGTGCTGACAACCGTCTGCTGCCATAGCTTATTTCACTGTAAGTTTGCTCCGTGCTTCCAAGGTGCTGCTTGGCACCTTGTGGTTGGATTTATGTAATGCTTACATTGGCTGCCTCTTCTTCTCCCACAGAGTCTGTGGCTGACAAAGGGAATGCTGTCATTGTCACTTACCTGCTTCTTGTCTTTAAGCTTTTTGTATATTTGCAGAATATCAATTGCACTGCAATGTGCACCCTGGTGCCTGGGTTTAATACTTCTGTTTGCTGCAGCTTTTTGGCACTGCCTTTCTTGGGGGTTCTACTGATGTGGTTACAAATGCAAAGTAGTTCACCACTAGTAATTGATTGTTCTGAATTAGAATCTCAAGTTCTGATACTTGAAAACATATGTAGATTCCACACTTTTGGGGATTTTGCAATCTATTTTATTCCATTCATTACTGTTCCTTACAAGTCAACACAGTTTTTCTTCAGAAGCCCTATTTTACTTAGCCCCAAATTTAATTGTAATTTATCATGGTGTGATTTTGTGAACTGTCTTTGAAAACAAAGGAAAGCTCACCACTTTTTTCTTACTTTGTAACAGCATTTACTGTGCACTTCAATAACTTTGCTGCACAAACAATGCTACAAAATGACAATAATAATAGGGTACCTTGGATTTCTAAAGTGTGAGAGAAAGCTGTTGATGCTTTGATGGCAACCAGGTGTTTTTATCTGGTAGTCTGTGATAGATGTATAGAGACCTTTGTGAATGAGAGCTACAGCACTACAGATGGGGAGGTGGAGTCACAGAGAGGTTAAGTGTTTGTGCTTTTTGCATGGTGACATGACTCTTCACAGTGCTGACTGGTGAGAGATGGCACAGAAATGCTGCCAGCAGGAGTGCCTTTCCTAGTACAGGGCTGGAAGTGATTGGAAACTGATTGCACTGCACAGGTGATAGGATTTTACTTGGCTCTTTGGTATTTTAAGGTAGCAGGTTGCTTCATGTTTGCTTACTGTAAGAAATGGAATGTAACATTCTTTTTGTTGTTTTCAGCTTGCAGACAGTGGGCTGCATGCCACCTCCTGTGTCTTCTGCTGTAATTTTAACCAAAGCTGTTGGTGGGAATGAGGTGAGTTTGCATTTTGGCTTTTTTAAACAGGCATTCAAATGAGTATTTATTGATGATGAACTCAAGTGGCAAAGCACAGGCAGAAATGTGATGCTGCTGTGGTTTGTAAAGCATTCTGGAATTGGGGGTTGGCTGTTTACTTGGTGTCAAACAAGGAAACCAGTGATATGTTACATGCTGGCATTGGTGAAACTGAAAGAAACTCACTTTTCTGAGGTGATACAAAGGTTTCTACTAGAAATTAGTGTTGAGATTTCTGGTGATTGCTACACTGGAGATCCAAAGCTCTATAATGTTCCTGTGCTGTGTTGTAGTTATTGCATAGACCAATAGATTTGCAGTGCAGTTGTGCCCTTGCTGAGATTCTTTGGGTGTGTTCAGTATTAGGAGGTCCTGTAGTAGGAGTTTCTCAAGCTTGAAGCTGCAAATGTATCAAGGGACATGGCAATACAAACATGGATTTAAATCTTAGATTGTTATTTGAGACTGTATGAAGTGAAAATTCAGGGAATGTGGAGTTCTTTGACAGGGATGCAATGCAAAGCTCTCAACAGATAGGAAACGCTGGAATAGAAGTTGTTGGTATAAACTCAGCTTGGTAGTGATAAATTTCTGCCTTAAAATGGTGTATTCTGGTGTAATTTCAGACTCTTTCTTTATCCACAAAGCACTTGCTGTTTTCAGGAAGACCAGATAAATGGCATTTAGGAAATTAATCCAGCTGTGCTAATTAATGAGCTTGTTTCCTTTAGATTTCCTTCCTCCTAGCTGCTGAAGGTGTAGGAGACCTGGTAGGCGAAGAAAGGAGGGAATTAGCATTGACAGATGGGATTTACACCCGGGGCTGTTGGATGCTATTCTGAAGGGCTAAAGGCAAATCTTAATTCAGCCATAGAACTCCTGTGTGAGGTTGGGTGGTTCACTTCAACCACATGTTTTAAATATGGCCATTAGTTGTGAACTTCTCATTTTCTGAGTTCAGGCTCTTGGGACCGATTAATGTCAGCTTTGAAAACACATGATAGCACTGAAAGAGATTGAAGTTGTACTTTGTACTGACAAAGTGCTGTTTAATTGCTTTATCCTCTGAAGAGAGACCCAAAGTATTTCAAGTCAACCATCTCTAATTATGGGCAATCCTGATGCACATCACTGTCTGCCAGTTTGCTACCTTGAAAAAAGAACCATAAAATTGTCTGATGGAGGTGCTGGGGAGTAGTTACTATGAAGAAATAATTCAAGTGCCCAATAGTGATCAACAGAGAAATGAGAGGTTTTCCAGTTATGATTCTACATGTAGATGCTGTAAATTACAGCGAGATACCACATAGTGAACAGTGAGGATTAATTGCGTGAGTGCTCATTCAGCACTGTTTGTACTATCCTTGGAACAGGGTAAAGATCCTCTCCAAAAACTACAGTAAGATTGGTGAGTTGAAAGCCACATAATACAGTGTACAGGAGGGAGAGAGGTACTTTAGTTTCTTGATCATTAGAAAGCACTTCCTTATGGTAGTGTCCTTCAGGGGTGGTGAGGGTTTGTGCATTTTATACCTGAAAAAGCTAAAAAATGGCTGCTTTCTATTATGTGGTTGTATAAATCACTGACAAGGTAAAGTTTGGACTCTGATTCTTCTGTGCCAAACTGGTGTTAGAGGAATGTACAAATGCATACCTTGTAGTAAGTTTTACAGATAATTGCTGACAGCAGAGAGGGTGAATCAAAAATTGGGCCTTGGGAACTGGGGGTTCTCAGTCAGGCTGTAAGAGAGTCTGTAAAGGAAAAACTCCCTTTAAAAAAGCTCAGTATAAACAAAACGTGGCAAAGTTATTTCCAGACTTGAGCATGTTTCCAATGCAAGCATATTTTTGGGATTTGATGTTTCTTTGTTGTTCAGACTAATCTTTCTTCTGAGGATGAGCAAATCACATCCCTCATGCTAGGAGAGGAAAACAGTCTCGCACCTCTCCTTGCCAGACTTCAGCTGAGCTGTTACTGATGTATTTCTTGTTCTGATATAAACAGAACACTGCATTTTTTCCCATTTCAGTCTGAATCCATTCTGACATGAAGAATTTAAACCTGGGAGTCAATTGGAAATACAAATGGTTGTACTGTGAGAGCATTTGTTCATGATAATGCTTCTTAAACTGGTTTTTGCCTCAACAAATGTGTATCCCTCACCTAGAGAAATTGATTTGTCTGAGGATGTATCCACACTGCATAATGGAATATGAAGATGAATGAACTTGCTGAGAAGGAATATAGCAAGGAAGCTCCACTGAAGTAATTAGTCTGGGAAGTGTCCTGCTGCTGTAGAGCACAGGCACACCCCTCAATGACTGCTCTGGAGACCTCTTTGGATGTCTTGAAACACAGCACTTCAGAGCTGTGGTGGCTGCCTGTGCTATGACAGTGTAGAGGGGTTTAGGTTTCTTTGTCTAAGTAGAAGTGACTGCTAATTGTCAGTTTGGATATGGGGTATTCTCAAAGAAATATCAGGCCCTGTGTCATGGGAGAAGTAGTACCCCTGGGGCTGGGGAAATATGGTCTCTTTTTAGCTCTCTCATCAACCTTTTGGGTAGAACAGGGTGAGTTACTGTGTCTCTGGGGTTGGCTGTGGCGCATAATAGCACATTTGTGAAGTGTTTGAAGATCAGTGCTGAAAAAATCTGATATAAGATCTATATTTTATTGGCCTGGGACAGGGTAATTAAGTATTTGGTCAAGTGCTTCAAAAGTGACCTACATCATTAGAGGCTACTTGGGTGGTGGATTTTGCTGCATATTAATTGGAAAATTTGGTTGTGAGATAATAAAAGGGAAACTTGCTTTCTTCTCTGTTTCTCCTTCACCCTGATTTTCCATCATTGCTCCTGTGATCTCTTCCTGTGTTGCTTTCATTAACCCTGCAAGTAGCTTTCTAAACCAGCCTGCTCCTAGCTTTTGTTACAAATGCACTTAGCTCATTAGCAAGGCCAGTTTCATGTACTGAATGTTAGTTTGATACATATGCAGGCCTATATGAAGAAAAAAGAAAGTTTCATATGTTAACTGGTGAAAAATGAGGGGGGATCATCATAAGAATGAAAATCTAATTTGTTGTTAATTTCTCAATTACATAGTTGTTTCTGTCAATCAGCTCTCATGTTTTGTGTAGAGGACAGTCCATGAAGCTAAAAAAATTGGAATGAAAACCAGGAGGCCTCACACTTGTTCTTTGCTCTTGTGCTGTGAAGGGTCAGGATTTTAATGGTGTAGCTTGACAGCACTGAAGGCTTTGTTGTGTCATTTTTTTTCAACAAGTCTTGTAGTTTTTCAGTGAAATTATAAAAACAATTTCTTTAAGAGTCTGCAATAGAGACAAATAAATATGTCATCATTTCAAGGCAGTGTTAAGACAAACCTATTAAAAGCTCAGAGATACTCAGACAGAAGTGCTGTAGAGATGCCAGATATTACTACAAAGTATTCAGACAGCAAATGTCATACTCTCCTTAAGAATCAAAGTAATGAAGAAAAGAGATTGAAAATTAGATCTATAAGTCTATTATCAGTTTGGGAGAAAAAGCAATTTGTGATGACTTTTATGGCAGCTTAATGACATACTTTTGGAAAGTGTAACATAACAGGCAGGAGCTGTGATGGAATTGTACAGATAAATCGTGGCAGACAGCTCATTTTGTTGAAGAATACTTTGGCTATTTTGCTATCTCATACACCACACAACCACTGAGGATTTTTTTTGTTATTGTTCAGTTGAGCTATGGCTTGTAGAAAACATCTTGATCAACGTGCTGCTTTATTTTATTTTTTTTTCAACTTTAATGTGGCTCTGCTATGTCCTTATGTAAAACAAGGTGTTGCACATGCAAGACAAGATTTTGAAATATGAAATAATCTAAAATGAAGAAAGCCAGAAAGGTGTTAATGAAGTAAGGTATAAAGTAAAGAAATAGTTCTATTATTGATTTTTAGATTTGATTTTTGAAGCAGATGTAAAATGTAAAACTGAGTACAAATTTGCAAGGTCCACAGCTAAGCTTTCTGAGAGAGAATCAAGGGAGAGCAGCAACATTTACCCAACAAATTATATACAATAGTTTTAAATGATATTTTGAAAAATATAACACATGAATAGTTTCTGAGAAATGAAGACTGGAAAATTCCTTTGTTTGTCTCTATGTTTTTGAGGTTTTTTTTAGTAGAAATAAAGAAAAAGTGAACTCTAACACTACTGTAAAGTCACAGGAAAGATATTGATTTCTCTAAAAATATCTGAAGTTCTTTGAACTGTATATACATGTACATTAACCTTTTAGAAAACAAAACAAAATGAATAAAAAGAAGTACAAGCTCTAATGGTTTGTGATTCATGCACTGACTGATGCACCAGTGTACCATGAGTGTTTACCCTTGGAAGGTAACACATGAACATTATGAAACAGAATTTTTTAAGATCTTCAAATAAACTGTGTCATGGTGTTTAGTTATCTTCTATAATATAGTTTTTCCTCTCTAAATATTAGTCACTGGTGTTGTCTAAAATTTGATTTCCAGATTACACTTAAAATATTCATGTGACCAGGTTTTCTTTATGAAAGGATAAGTAATTTAATTATGTTGTTTTTAAATGTGATACTGTAAAAGGAAAAGAAAGATCATGATTCTTTTTTTCTTTCCTGAGTAGTAAATTTTGTCTGCCTACACAGGTTAAATAATTCTAAATGAAAATGAGATAATTCCACTATTAGATACTACACTGAATTCACTTGGAAGTATGAGAGTGTTGGAGAACAAATTCAGGCAAGATGTCTGTTCTTGACATGTACAAATATAAAGAACTAACTGTGTCAGCATAAACTTTGTATGTACATAGGAGCTGTTGTGCTATTAAACTCTATTCTAGTATTACAGTCTAATTTTTTATGTATCATAAGAGTTTACTTTTCTTTTATCATTGCTGTGCTTTGAGCAGATGGTTTTTTATTGAGCTATT